TAATGTACTCATCCAATGTGTACAAGGTCATATGATGAGTACAAAGGCTGCATACACTTCAGACAGTTATCCAAATCTTTTTAAAATAATTGTGACTGCTCTAATTTGTTTATAGGGCATGACAATGCTATACAATGTTGCGCTTGCATTATTGAAGGTAAGTACAATACTGTTACATCTGTTTTAGTATGTGATATGTGATCAAATACAAACTGATGTGATCGAGTAAAAGGTCATGTTATGGAATACAAGGTGATATTATCAATTTCAAGTTGTGATCAAGCACAAGGTCATGTAATCGAATACAAGGTCATGTGACTGAATACAAGGTCATGTGATCAAACACAGGGTCATGTGATCGAATAAAAAGTTATTTGATCAAATACAAGGTCATGTGATCCAATACAAGGTTATGTGATCAAAAACAAGGCCATGTGATCGAATACAAGGTCATGGGACTGATTTCCAGGTCATGTGATCAAATATAAGGTTATGTGATGGAATACAAGGTCATGTGATCGAAATACAAGGTCATGTGGCCGCGTACAAAAGCATGTGATTAAATACATGGTCATGTGATCCAGTACAAGGTTATGTGATTGATTACAAGATGACGTGATCAAGGTTACGTAACCGAATACAAGGTCATGTGGTTAAATACAAGGTCATGTGCTCAAAGACAAGGTCATGTGATCGAATAAAAAGTTTATTTGATCAAATACAAGGTTATGTGATCGAATACAAGGTCATGGCCCAAATACAAGGTCGTGCGATCAAATACAAGGTCATGTGATCAAATAAAGTTATTAGATCAAATACAAGGTCATGGGAATGATTACAAAGGCATGTGATCAAATACAAGGTCATGTGATTAAATACAAGGTCATGTGATCCAATACAAAATCATGTGATCCAATACAAGGTCATGTGATCCAATATAAGGTCATGTGATCAAACACAAGGCCATGTGATTGAATATAATAGCTCCAACATAGCTTCCTAACACTTTATTTTCTTCCTTGAATTATTTTTTACAATGCACAAATCATTACTCAACATCACTTTAACAACAATGTTTTTCAGATACCAAACCTACTTAAATTAAAATATTATAACTGTAGAATGTGCCAGTAAGAAATATAAATTGGTAAATAAATAATTATCAAATATATGTCATTATATAAGCACGACTATATTAAAGTCATGATAACTGAACTGTAATGATAAATAGTTCAGTTTATTGACTATGCTATGACAGTGTGTATGTGCATGCATACATCCATTCTTGTGTGTGATCACACCTGTATCTCAGACACGCCTAGACTGATCACATTTAAACTTCACACATACATCTTTTTCGTAGAGACATTACATGATTCCTTCTTCCTTACTCCTGATTGGCTCTGTGAGCACTTAGAAACCTTTGTTATATGAGCTATATAAGAATATTTTTAGCATGATGTCATATTATGCATTTGCGCATATATTATGATGTATGAATGTATACATCTCAGTGCATTCATGTTCTGCTATAACTATGTATTAGTATTCATGTCATGCTTATGTCATGCGATCTGTATATTAACAGACATCAAGAAAAGATCTAACAGCATTGGATTTTGAAGGTACTCTCAAGTACTTCCGTGTAACCCTTCCAAAAAAATATCGCACAGAAGAAAATGCCAGGGAATTATTGCATCTAGCAGTCACAACTAAGGTATGAAATTTTAATAATATGTATATAATATTGAATATGACATGGAATAATTAATTAATCTTGAGACAGATAGGTGTGTCATATTAGCATGACTTCACATGTGTTTGCAGTGTGTCAGAGACATTGTAAAATTGATGTCGTCTAACCTTGTCTTGACCTTTATATAGTAGCTAATCATCATACAATATAATATGAATCATTTTGTTGTCTGCATAGCTTGTGTGTATTGAAGGTACTATGATGTGTGAGTGAATGAATGCTTGCTGTCTACATTTGGCTGGAGGGGTGTTCATATTAATTGTAATAATTATTACATCGGTATTGTATTACCTATTACTACCTAATAAAATATTATTGTCTGAAGATGTTAGGTAATAAGAACTAGCCCTAGATGAATACATTTGTCTTTTTGCTGAAAAGGGATATTTACCACATTTTTTTGAAACTGTATATCTGATTACTTTGATATTTTATTAGCTCCGCTGTCGACTTTGTCGAGCGAAGCTTGTATATGAGTGATTGTTCGTCGTCGTCCGTGTCAATGTTTTAATTTTTCGACTTCTTCTTGAAAATTACAAACCTTAATGCTTTGATACTTGGTGTGTATGTACCTTGGGTAGACTTCTCTTAGATTTGTTCATTTCAGGATGATATCTTCAATTCTCTAATTTTGGTGAATATTTTTGTCATTTTTGGTAAAAAGTGATATTTTCAACTTCTTGTTAAAAACCGCATGTCCATTTGCTTTGATATTACATATATAGATAATACATGTTGACCTCTCTCAGATTTGTTCATTTTGTAAGGATATCTTTAATTTTCTAATTTTGGTGAATATTTTTGTCATTTTTGGTAAAAAGTGATATTTTCGACTTCTTGTTGAAAACCGCAAGTCCAATTGCTTTGATATTACATATATAGGTACTACATGTGGACCTCTCTCAGATTTGTTCATTTTCGTGATGATATCTTTAATTTTTTAATTTTG